ATTAATAAAATAAGATATGAATTCAATTCTTATTTTTTAAGTTATTGAAAATTAAGAATTGCAGTTTTAATAATCATTAATATTTTAAAGTATATAAATACAAGCATCTATGAGTAATGATGGAAAATATTTAATCACTTGGGATGAATCTTCTAGAAATATTTAAGTGATAAGTATTGAATATCACTGAATATAAAATAAAGAGATTTTATTTTATTTATATAATACTTAAAAATAAGTTTACATACATAAATTTAATTATATTTTACGAGACTTTTTTTTATTTAAATACAAATTTTACTCAAAACAATAAATTATTAATTTCATTTAAGTTATAACAGAAGAAGAATATTTTAAAAAGTGTTAACTTTCGGTTTGATTAAGGTATTTATATAAGCTTTATGGGATGAAAAACAAGACTAGATTAGAGAATCAACTACAAATATGAAATTCTTAGCTTAATTTTGGTTATTTATAAAAATATTTTATTTGTTAATAAAATTGCTGAATAAAATATTATAAAACACAAAATATAATTTTTGATAAAGAATTTGATTAGTATTAATTTTTCAAATATTAAATAATATATAATTTTTGGATATCTCTTTATTTTTAATTTTCTAATTATTTTATTTAAATTAAGATAAGTAGATTATCTATATAAATTTGAAATCAAAGAAAGAAAAATGAATAAATAATATTATTCAAAGTATTTATATATGTATATATATATATTTATATTTATTATTAATATAATTATTTATCTCAGTGATTTAATACTATGTTTTCAAACACAATAAACCCATTTCTCAGAATTAAAAAACAAAACTTCTTTTTAAGTGATTTTTTTTAGATATTTTAACAACTATATTTTTCAAATGCTATTTTTTGATCTAGTAGTTATGGAATTTAAAAAAGAATTGGTATTATACTAATTTTTAGTTTAAAATTACCAATTTTATCACTATCTACTATAATATAGCATCTAGATTTGCTTCTATGTAAAATCAATGCTTTTATTAATACATTTTAATGTTTTTATTTAAATTAAAAGATTCATATTGCTACATTTCTAAATACTTTAGACTATTCATCAAAATTGGTTGTTTAATTGAAATTTCACTCCTATAGAGTTATGGTTTGTAAAAGATAAATTTTTCATCATCTAAACTTTGACTACATCTTAATAAGTGAAAAGCCAGGAAACAAGCAAATATATTAAAGATCTAAGAAGTAATTTAGTGATAATTTTGATCGTTGATAGAAGAAATACTTAGCTATAAAGCTTAAAGTTTTCCAAAAGTATTTAATCTTGAAGTTGTGAAATAGGTTCAATAGTTCAATTTGGAAGAAGAGATGAACGAAATTCATTTTATTCTACAAGAAAAGAGTAAGCAAAACGAAAATGATATTATATGTAACTTAATATTTATAATAGTATTTCGTTGATCCTATTATTATCCAAATTTAAGTTGACTCTGAAACTCATCCTACCAACGAGAATACAAAGGCTCTAATGATTATTAGTTATATTACATTATTTTCATATATTCAATTTATGATTTGTTTTCTTGATAACCATAATCATAAAAATAAATTAATATCTAAAAATTAGAATAGATAACAATATTTAACCACAACCAAGAATTATATATAGCTCTTATGGATCCCCACTAATCATTAGAAAAACTTTGATAATATTATTTTCACTTTATATTTGTCATTAATACAAATTGTTTAAGACCTAGGTTTTAGTTTGAGAATATCCTATAGTAATAAGATAGATTGACCTAAGTCTGTAAAGTATATAAAATATTTATGGGAATTAAATAGAAGTATAGTTTGAGTTTACTAGGAAAATAAGTTAGTATCTATTCCTTGAAAAATATTCAATGGTTTGAACATCAAAATTAACATAAAACAAAATTAGTATTTCTTAAAAATAATGCTATTATTACATCAATTTTAGTAACATTAATCCATTTGAATGAAGATTCAGTTGTGCAATTGTAGTATGTACTTCTGATTAATAACACTTTTGATCTCTGGATTTTTGTAGTTAAGCACACCTATTGAAGTGCCATTTCAAAGCTTTACTCTATAGATACTATAATTCCTCTTATAGTTACTCTTAATGTCATATAAAAAGCCCTTTCATTAGTGCATAAGATTCTATGCATGGCCTGTTAAGCAATGTTGAGATTTAGCTCTCCGGTTATAAGATGATTACCAAAGTAACTCTTCTAAGAAATAGTTTATTTCATCTTATATCGTTAAAAAATGTCTCATAAGTACATGAATTACTTTTCTTTCTCTCTATGTATTTTTTAAATAAAAAATGCAATACATTTTATAAACAAAATTATTTCCTTAAAATTGATCTCTAACAGCTAAAGTCATATAGGACTTTCAGAATCTTCTGAGAACAATTTTGTTAACTGAAAAAATTTGATTCATAGAGCAGAAAATTTGAAAAAATTAAATTAATTAATATAATAACATTATTGCTATCAGGTTTTTCAAAAGGTAATTAGAAAATTTTCTAATCAATAAAGTATTAAAGCTGTGTTATTTAAATAACCAATAAAAATAAAAATCTTCCTGTAAATAATTTAAAGCTTCCTCTTTCTCAGCACTTATAGTTTATATTTAATTGTTTATTATTGTTATTAATACTATTGTGAACTTTAAAGGATCCAGAACAAGGTCGTTTATAAAAGAATCATTCTTATTTGGTTTAAAAATTGAAACTAGATATAAAGGTTGATTTATTCTACTAAATATTTTTCTTAGGCAATTTTTATTGCATCCTATTAACTTTTGATCATTATCCCAAATCCATTTATTACTTAATGCCTACTACTATAAAAAATTGCTTCTAATAATATTTAGCTACAACAAACTTCAATATAAGCTTTAAATTAATTATTTTTCCATCCTTCCTAACCTTTTAAGAATATTAAAAGATCATTCTATTTTCGGTTAATTCTGAATTATATATAGAATTAGTGAAAATATTTACAAAGTACAATCTAGTTTTGAAAGGAATTATTTGTCTGAAGATTTATCTTGAAAAAATTCTATTTTTAAGTTATCAATACTAATGAACCAATATCAATAACATATTGAAACATTAATTTTGATTATGGTTTACTCATTTTATTTTTCCATTAAACTTTTTATTCAATTTATTTCCATTTTTTATTCTTATAGATATATAGATTCATAAGATTTACTTGTCTTGAATGCAAGAAAATAACTAAAATTGAAATACTATTATTTAAAGTGTGAATATATCTGGAGTAAGTCATTCTTTGAATTATCACGACTTAGTTCAAAATTAAAATTGAGTAATTATTCACAAAGTATAATTTTATATGTGAATTCTGCATTTAAGCCAAAAGAAATATATCTGGTGAATGAGGAATAAAAAAAATTTTAAGCTATGAACCTATAATATAATAGATTTAAAATAATCAAAAATTTTATGCTTCTCATTATGAAATATAATTATCAAACGAATATAATAAACGAATTTTTTTTTTTAATTTATCTACAGCTTCAGTTCCCTATGCTTAACAATACCAATATTAACATCCCTAATTAAATTAAAAAGACCAATTACTATTATATAATTTTAATCGTCCTTCCTTTCATCAAATAAATAACTTTTCCCTAATCATTATTCTAAATGATACCTTTAGATGGTAAAAGCCGTAAAGCTTTGC